TCTCTCTCTCTCTCTCTCTCTCTCTCTCTCTCTCTCTCTCTCTCTCTTTATATATATCTATATATATATATATAATATATATTTGTGTGTTTCCAAGAGTCATCATCTACCGTTGACGATGACGACAAGTCAACGCAAAGGATAGAGATCACATATCTTTCTTCTTTTTTAGCTTTTCAGTCGTCCGCCGCGTATATATATAGCTTATTGCTTGCCTGCCAATGTGCGCATTGAATGCAAATTAGGTTAGTAGGTTGCTGAACATTGTGAATAAGTATTTGACGTTGTCGCAATCTTCTCATACACGCATTCAATTTCCATCCTTTCTATTTCTTCGTCTTTCTTTATGAACATTTTTATATGCATGCCGTTTTTGACATTATCAGCTGTCAACAAAGAAAGTAAGACGACGAAAAAATTTTCTTTAATATTATCATTGATGTTCTATATTCGATTGTCAATTGTTATTCAGTTTTATATATCACCATCATTAAGCATGTTTTGTAATTTAGAGTACATATATATAGATATATCTATGCATGTATGTGTGCGTGCAGAGTCCAAAACGCAATATAAACGAATGATAGTTATAGAGTAGCAGTAGAAGGGTGATAGAAAGACGATAAAATAGAGCATTGAATTGTATGTTCTATCGTCCTCGTCTACAATATGATCGCAGCATATCTGCACTAATATACAAACACACGCGAAAGGTTATTGTTTTCACATCTTGTCTCAACGACAACGCTGACGACTATAGCCAATTCAAGAAAAAAAAAATGAATGTATGCGTATGTACATATGTTATCTTTTACCATAGTATGTATAAAAGCAAGAAATGAGAACGATGGGTGACCATTATTGAATTTGTAAGCGAATGAGAATGTTACTATTGACCGCCTTGAACAAGCAAGCGGTCAATCAGCAGACAGTTACACCGATCATGGACAAAAAACTGACTGTTATTTCTTTTAGACAAAAGAAAAAAGAAGAAGAAGAAGAAGAGGAGAAAAGAAGCGATTTTAGATTCAGGATTGATGCAGATTGGCAAATCATCATCATCATTGACGACAGCAGCATCTCTCTCTCTCTCTCTTCACTAGAGTGGCGTGTGCCATCGCTCTTTTTTCTCTTTTTCTTAGTCTGTCTGATTGTTGTTGTGTGTTACTACACGAAAGATGTGGTGTGTCTCTCCATAAAAGATATAAATATGCTTAAAAAGAGAAACAGGGTAGACGACGATGTATGTGTGCAAACGCATGTCGATGAGAAAGAGCAGGAAAGGAGTGCAACCAAGCGGCAGTAGCGAACGGTTTTGTTTAAATGCGAAAACCTAAAAATGAGAGCAACAGCGCGGCACAAAAGAGTGTGTATGTGCGTGTATATGTGAGAGTGAGAGTGAGAGAGAGAGAGAAGGAAGAGTTATGTGTTCGCCTTTTCTTAGTGTGTTTGTGCTGTCAATTTTTCTCTTCTTATTCTTCATTGTCATAGTACGGCTACACGTCGATATAGCATAAATGGTATGTACACGGAAAATTACGATTATCGCTTGTGAGTTATATGTAGATTATGATGATGATGATAATAATAATGTTGCTAGTTAGTTAGCTAACTGTCAAGTATTGAAAATAAGCAAACGTAAAAGGAACAAGATTTTGATCGAGTACTTTATTAGTATTCGAGAAGCCACGTGTTATATCTCGACTATAAGTACGTGTATATTTTAAAAAAAAAAAGAAAAGAAACTAGGCAATGAAAAATGTGCAAGTAATCGAGAGACATACATATATACAATGATGTACTGCTTACTCGTCGATTTGTCTATCTTAGTCGTGCATATACACGTATACACAAGGGGTACAACGCACACGTCAGCATCGAGTGCAAATAGATGAAAAAATATAGAAACAACTCTCCCTCTCTCTCTCTCTCTCGTTTGCTCGATAGTTTGCCTGGCTTCTCACACCCATCTATCCTTTTTCTTGCTCTTTCGATTAGAAGCTACTATTTCTATTACTACAACGAGTGCCACCACACACATTTATATATATATTACTCTATGTGATCATTATCATCAACAATAACATAAGCAGTGAATGAGACGAGTGTGCAAGCGACTTTTATTTCTCAGTCAAAGAGAAAGAGAGAAGAGGGAATCGCCTTTCTTGACATTGTCGTCAGTTCTACTACTATTGAGCATTTTACTTGTTCTTGTCTCTGTCGTATGTGTATGGCGGGTAGATACCGTTTCCGGTTAATTGCAGCAGTCATAGTCGATTTTTCTCCTCTTCTTTTCACACACACACACACACATTCACACAAGTCGCTCATTTTCTTCCTTTATTTTATTGCCAAAAAAAAGAAAAACGAGAAACATTTTTACTCTTCATACATACGTACTTATTTTAATTCTTTCTTTTTTTTTTCTTCTTCTTATGTCATAACTCATCTTTTCTTCTTATATGTTGCATACCTTTCTTTTCTTTTTTGTTTTGCCTTTTTTTTTTCTTCTTATTTCTAACTAAGCACTACTATTCTTTTTGACTCTGTTTTTTTTTCTGATATACATCGAGAATCTAGCTTACACGCAAGCTAATTCGTCAAATACTACTCTATCGAATGTCATTGCATCCTATTACACTAGTAAGAAAGAAACTCTGTTTAGTAATGCTAGAAAAAAAAATCAACACACCCAGGCAACAAAATCAAATTAAGACGCACACAACTAGTGTAAGTGTATGTATGCGTATGAAAGAGAAAAGTGTCAATAATGGATGTTGAACGTCGTCAATGTTCGACGGCGGCAAGCGGGCACAGCCTTGTATATGTATTCGTTTTTCTCTCTACTCTTCTCATGCCACCATCTCTGACCGATGAAAGAGAGAGAGAGAGAGAATAATGTATATGCTTCTTATTTTCTAGATGTGATGTTCACACAATAATGCTGTGTGCAACAACAGAAGGAGAAGAAGAAAGATTCATCTTTCATTCCCGGTGGTCGTATGTATTGTATACGCGCTTCATGTTCATTTTCTGATCAGCAATAACAACGACCATGAGCAATAGCAAAGAAACAATGACAAAAAAGCAACAAGATGACCTTGCTTCAACTTTTAATAGTATGGTTTCTTTCTTTCTTTTTTTTTATTAAAAGAATAGTTTTTCTATCTATTGATATAATATTTTATAGATCTCCCATGGGGTCTTCCAATGGGTTTTTCCTCAATGCCACCATTCGGCTCATTTCCACCTTTTGGTTTACCTACATCAAATTTTCCATCAATGAACAGTTTTGCTTCATCAACAACGGCTAATTTTCCTCCTCCACCATTACCTTCATTATTATCAAATGATTCTACAAATTCAATAACATCTGATATGTGGTCAAATGGTTTAGCAGCTGCAAATACAAATATTGATTATAATGAATATGCAAAACAATTAGGTTTACTTATGAATGCATTTAATGAACAATCACAACTAAAACCAGAAGTTGATAAATCGAAATGTAAATAAGTTAATTTTATAAAAAAAAAAATTATTTTTATCAAATAATCTTTATTTTGTAGCATCATCAAATGTAAAATCTTCAAAATCTAAACGATCGACACCTACTACTAATTCTTCACCATTATCTTCATCGGATATTATTAATGGTAAAACTTCTACATCAAAACCTATCGATGAATCTCATCATCGTCCTACATCTACATCATCATCGACATCTTCACGTCGTTCATCATCAACTAATCCGAAAAAATCATCAAATCATAATTCGAATGTAACATCTTCGTCAAAACTACCTACTAATAATGATTCATCCGTACTCGATCCATTAGCATTTGCAGCTGCTGCTGCAAGTGGTAGTCTTACATTTCCTTATTTTCTTCCATCATTACTTTCACAATCAACAGGAACAAATAATAATTCGTCAACAAATTATCCATTCTCAGCTCTGTCATCATCATTAATAAATCCAGCTGCAGCAATGTATCCATTTTTATCACCAGACTGGTTCACATCATCA